GGGAATTTTTTTTGGGGGGGGAGTTTATTAATTACTAGTTCAATCTACTTATTTTTATAAATACGTTAACATTTTCCATTTCTTACCAAGTCAGTTTCAATCATTTTTGCCTTTGTAGAAATTTTTCCGTTTCATCGATTTATTCAAAATCCTTTTTATTTCTGTAAATTCTGTAATAATGTCTCCTCTTTCATTTCTGCTTCTCTGTATTACTGTTCTGAGGACGGGAGCGAGGGTAGTGCCCCGCTTCCTTTGGACAGAACTCGTGGTTTGCGAGTGCGGCACTAGGTGGGGGCAGTGGCCTCTGGTGTTTTTGGCTTGTGTTTTCTGCAATGGAACCTCTGCCCTAAGAGCGAGGTGAGGTGAGGTGAGGGTGTCCGGGGCCCCAGTATTCTTGGCCTGTGACCTCTTGGCTGTGGGCACCTGCAGTTTAGGCTGTTAAACACAGAAGGGTGCAGGGCAGAATGAGACTCCTTGCAGCTGCCCTCCTGAGGAACTACTGTAGCTCTTCACTGGGAAGGGAGGGAGAGGGAATCTAGTCTCCTTGGCCACGCCCACCTACCTGCAGGGAAGCTTGTACTGAGCTGGGGGAAGGGGGTGGGGTGGGGGGAGCACAGGAGTGGGTCCTGGCTCCAGTGCCAGATTCTCAAGGTTTTCATAGTCTGTCTTTAATAAATGTTTCTTCATTTGCTCTGTGCCCTTGGGACAATTGACAATTTATAAATCATTTTCATCAGTTATGGTTGTTCACTGGAAAGCGACTCCTCCAAGCCCCTGGTGTGATGTTCTGGAAGCAACGCTTAATCTCTGGCATTGGTTTCTCCCTCCACAGAATGCGTTCATAACTCTTGGCTTCATAACTTTGGGTGGCCGTGAACAACAGTTCAGGGAGGGCTGACGGAAGACAGCAGCCTGAGAAAAGGGACTGAGAAGGCATAGAGAAGACGAATTAATATTGAGGAAAATGTTAACATATAAAATGATTAAATCTGGTTGGAGAAGGTTAAGGTTATGAAGAGCTAGTATACGTGCCCACTTGTCATTTTCAACAAATGAAAACCTTACACGCAGCACAAGGGTCACAGATTAGACGCAAGAACCGATCCCTTTGCCAGGTGGTCCAATAATAGGATGCACTGCGAGTGAAGGACGCAGAACAGCATTTTAAAATACGCCAGATCCTTTTGATGGCTGAGCTCCTGTGAGTAAAATGCAGCTTCTCTATCAGCTTATTCGTTATAGAATTTGGCAGTCATTTCACTGACACAAATTATTACAACTTCAGTTTTGTCGCTTTCACCTTGCGCCATAGCCAAACACCCAAAACACTTTAAAGTAACAGCAAGGTGCAAGTAAATCAAACGAGGTTCTGGGCCCCCACGGATGTTTACTTTGCTCTTCCTCCAGGAAGGCAAACCGACAGAAGCAGCTGTCTGCCCACTGGACTCTCTGCAAAGCTGGCTTAGGTGTGCTGCTGCCCAGACTGGGCGCGCGGTAAACAGCCTCATCAGGGCCCTCGAAGGGCGTGGGTTCTCAGGGCACACTGGTTTCCTGCACATGGACAAGCTATTGTTTCTCCCTTTCCAGGATGCGGAGATAAACTATACTTCAAATATTTATCCTCCTTATCTGGCTCATCCTAATAAGGTTGTGGTGTCACTTCAAATGAAATGCCAAATCCAGAACAATTTCAGTTTAAAGAGATAGCTGTTATTTAAGGAGCTTATTCTTTTCAAATGAAAATCCGAAAAATATTAGGGGGCATAAATGCTCTTATTGTTGGCGGGATTGCAGATCAGAGGTGGGCCTTTCTCAGGGGCTCCGTTCTTCAGTGCACTGGCTTCTTCAGTAAGAGGAAGTAACCGCAGATGCTGAGACTTTTGGCTTCTCTTAGCAACAAAGTTAAAATATGCTGGGCCTGTACTGAAACTGTGACCTGCAAAGGATGATCGAAGTTGCTACTCATGAAGATTGTGATCTAAGATGGACTAGAATTTGAATTTGGGGACAAAAGGGGACATTAGAAACTTACAGCTGGTCAGATGTACAAATTATGCATGCTAAATTATATCTGTATGCCAACATCTATTTATATCCTATATAGAGTGATGGATGTAATAACTGATTTGCAGAAATCCTGTTCATTTGGGGGATTTCTACCCCTGGGGAAACAATGAACCAGCACTGACACACCACCGGGTGAGGGGTTGCTCCACAGACTGAAGGGTGAATTTCAGATTTGCTGGAGTTCGGAAATTCATTTTCGTGTCATTTCAGTTTTCCAAGTTCCTTGATTTTATCTGCTCCTTAATAGCTGACAAGAATTGAACACAAAATATCACCAATATCTAGATGTATTTCATGTGTGATGGAACAAATCACGTAATAAAGAACAATATACTCTTTGGAAAGCTTTAAGATCAAGGCTACACATCTGTAAACTAGCAAGCACAGTGGCCAGCTGGATGGCCTGTGGTTTTTTTATAAACATTTTAATAGAGTTCAAAAATATTCTCAGTAAGGTTTTATATACATAAAGGATACCTGAAATCTTTCTTTGTGGTATATTCATAAAGCAAAAGGGGAGGGGGATACATATTCAATTGTTTCCTTCCCAAGATCTTTTTCTTAGAAGTATCTTACCTAGTTAGGAATTGAAAGATGCAATTGAATTAGCTAGAGATTGGAGTTACACAAAATATTTACACTAACAAGGTTGCACTTGATTAGCTAAAAGTGTTTTAAGTACTTTTCTGAGTCTCACTGAAAATCTGTGGCAGTACCAACATTTGTGTTGGTTTCTAGTGTAAATGACAAACGATTATTTTGAAGCAAAACTAAACAATAGTTTTTCCATATCGATTCCAAACCTCGGAATCTTAGAACGGCTCAGAACCCGAGGTCGTCTGGTTCCGGCTCCCACCGTCATACACACTCCATCGGTCACGTGGCCACCTCTCTTCGGAGACGTCCACGGGCAGAGAACTCAGGGCTCAGTGTCTGCAGCACCTTCTACGTGCTGGCCACGGGGCCACGTGCTTTTCTCACATTATCATGAAACAACCAGTGCAGTGTTAATACTCAGTTTTTAGAGGTGAGGAAACTGAAGGGGGCGAAGTAACTCACTCTCTCAAGGCCATCCTGTCATCAAGTGGTGGCATCAGCTCAGCCGGCACAGAATCGGGGTTTTGGATATGACAGTTTGCTGTGTGACAAATTTACTCTTATTTGACATGATTTCACGAATTCTAAGACAACCAGGATAGGTTCCCGCAACAAACATTCACTTATGCAACACAGTTTACTTCTCTTTACTCTTCTGGTTCCCTGTTCCTGACCCACAGAGCAAGCCATGCCATCGTGGGAAATATATAATCTCTTCCCACTTTAGTGTGCTCTAAAAAAAAAAATCAGAATATTCATTGGTAAAAAGTCAAATAATATAAGTATATATGGTGAGTAAATACCAGTCCCTCCCTACCCCCTGAATTCACCTCTGCAGTTATTAGGTGTTTGTTGTGTGTTTCCACGGATCTATTTTGAGCACAATTTCAGTTACTACAGTTTAAGTCAACACAACTCCAAGTTCAGTAGCCACAGGACATGAACTTAGAGGCAATTACCTAAGTACGATCTTCACCGTTAGCTCTTTGGTCCACAATCGCTATGTGGTAACAGGTCATGTGACCCATGATTAGCCAACGAGTGATGTCACTCTTCTCAGTCTGTTGGTGACAGGCCACTGCTTGTTACTCGATGCAAATTGTGTAGTTGTGTTGCCTTCTTGTGTCCCAGTTACTGATAGAACCATGTGACAATTTTACAAAAGCCAATAATCAAAAGAGGAAATTGGCCTACAAGACAAACAGTACTGCAAAGAAATGAAAAGTGAAAATGCTGGAAGGGAAACGTGAATGGAATGCAGATAGAGTCGCAGAGAAAACAGCCAACCACGAGTGTCTGAGGGGTTCCCGATACTCGAGCGGAGAAACTTAGCGGAGGCGATCTCACTGGCAGACACTGGCTCAGTGGCCGTGATGAAAACGATGATGCTATCCCGGAGGAAGTGACTCTGGCAAAACATTTCACAGTAAAGGAGCTCTTGGAAGTACAGCACCACACTGACTGCACAAAGATGAAAAGGTTAGTGGGTCCAAACTCAGAAGGATGACAATACACCGGGGCAGAGAAAAGATGCTTGCTCTGTGTCATGAACTGTATGAGAGGCAAGCAAGCTTTGTTCAAATACTCTCGGTAAATTTTCGTACAATGATGTAAAATTTTTAATTCTCAATATTTGTAATGTTTTAAACTACACCGAGCTAAATATTAGCTTTTCATTTTCCATGTGTTTACAATTGACACTGAATTTTTAATATTTTAAAACATCTTCAAAGGTCATGGAATAATCCCATTGTCCCCACTGACTAAGATTGCTTCCCCAGTGATTCAGCTCGCATGGTCACTTTTATGGTCTTTTACTGTGGGAAGCAGGGACCATCTATGTATTTGTGTGTTGTGTAAACAAATGTGCTCAGGTTAAAGCTGTTTTATTTTTAAACCAGAAGTTTGTATCTTTCGACCCTCTTCACCCATTTGGTGCGTCTCCCTACCCTCTGGCAACTGCCAATCCGTTCTCCTTATCTATGAGCTAACAGTTTTTTTTAGATCCCCACCCCCAACACTACGGGCTCCATTTCTTCCAGCATTTTTGTGTGTTTATTACACTGACGTTGATTCTTCTACAAGTCTGCGCGTAGTGTTCAGTAGAGGTCTACTTTATTCTTTTCAAATGTTCTCATTTACTGAACAGAGTACCTTTTCCAAATGTATTTAGAAAAATCTACTGTAATTATGATGGCATTTCATTTTGAATTATTTGCTTGGGAGTTTTTGTTTTTTTCTTTAAACCAAGTATTATGCTCACTTCTCCAAAAATTTAAATGAGAAATCATGGCTTTCAGGTTCGTAAGCAGTAAAATCATCTCCAGAAACATGGCTTTAGAGAGAAAATATTTAATGTTTCATGAAAAAGTGTACAAAGCTTTAGAAAAGAGTTAGTAGGTTTCAGTGTACAGCATGAGCGCGTTCTTGCTACCTGGCACCCCACGTCTTAACTTCCTTTGATTCGGCATGAAGGCCACTGCACACGCATCCCAAACAGTCTTCTGTTAACACACCATTGAGAAAGTCACTGCAAATAGTCCAGAAATAAATGCAGAAGTACAATGTTGTATAAAAATATATTAATCTGTCTACAGGAAACACTTAAAAATGCAAATCAAATCAATTTTTTTTTAGAGCTAGACCATGTCTAGAAACATCAATATATATCCTTGTAAATTAGATTTTCATTGCATTTCTTTCATATTTGGAGAAAAACACAATCAAACCTTTGGAATGACAGGCATGCAGTCAGCACAGCAGACCAACTCTAGTCTCAGAAGTAAAACCGCAACTTTATCAACACAAGAGTTTGTCTTTAAAATCTGACAAATTTATGAACTGTTACAATTTGAAATTATATATACATGTGCCACACAAAAAACTGTCCATAATCCACATGTAAAATAATGACAGACAACTAATTTCTAAACCAGCTCTCAATGGGTCCTAACAGTGAGCATTTAAACTTTTTAATATTAACCTACCTAAAATAAAATTAGGAAGGAATACCTCAAAACAGAAATTAATTTCAAAGTCACATAAGGTACTTTGCTCTTTTGCAAACTGGTACTAGGAATTCTAGCAAAAAGTGTACCCCAACAAAGTCATCCTGCTGTGTCTGGCACGTGAGCAACCAGACTTCCTCAGGCAAACCTCTACGAGCGCCACTGCTGTTTTTGGAGAGAAAGCCTGCGGCGTGGAGAGGCAGCGGTGGCATACATTTTTGCAGGTAAATGTGGATGACAAACATCAGAGGCACGCGTGAACAAAACACTTCAGCTCCACACATGTGCACACACACTCATGAGCAGTGCCAATAACGGTAACGAACACCACAATGAACACTGTATGCAACGCTCACAGAATGAACACGTTTCTGGTGGGTCTAAAAATAATGACTACAAACTCTAAAAACAGCAGATAGTTCTGTGGCCGAGTCCTACATTTTCAGGAAAGAGCGTTCTATTTTTACTCTCCAGTACCATAACTTATCAACTGATGCTTCATCCTGCGCACCTCAGCATTTTCCCGAGCATACCCCGTGAGAGTAAGAATCGGGAGGCTGTTTGACCCAGGCGTACTTAAATCAGAGAGCTCATTTTTTCTCTACTTCCCAGTATTACAAAGCTTTATCTTCATTTCAAATGTAAATATGGAATGAAATGTATTAAGAGCAAAAGGTATTATCTTCTATTTGCCCCGTTTCAAGTTTTCCACATTAAAAAAAATCTTGACAATTTTGCTTAGCTGTTTATTCCTGAGAAACACCCAGTCTGTAAGTCGCTGCTTAGAGGAAGGAGCTCCCGCCACACCCTGCCCGCTATAAAACGCTATGCGTCCACGGTTTTGTGTACCCACTTGTGCCTGGCTTCAGTGTGTGGTCGCTGGCACAGGCTGGGAAGCATATTTGGAAAAACAATTCCTTTTTTTTTTTGGTTGTGGAGGTTTCAACAGAATGAAACATCCTTTGGTCGTACACTTGAGAGCCACATACCAGCAAAGAGAGACACGCCAAGCAATGAATAACTTTAACCAGCAAACATTCCACAGCAAGTGTCTAGGGTTTTCACTCTCCAACTCTAAGCTTGCAGTCAGAGGGGTTGCCAAGGGCAGCCTCCGGCCAGACCCGCAAAAAGCCAACAGCGCCAGCTTCCCCTGCAGTCCCGTGTGGGAAGGGGCCAGGCCTGGCAGATGGGAGCACACGCAGGCAGATTAGCAGAGCCTTTCTAACTTTTAACACCATTGTTCATATTATCCTATTGCAAGGAAATTTGAAAATGCAAACTTTTAGTTATTCAGGACAAAAGAGTGACTTATGGTGAATGTGAATTCTTTATTTAAATAATTGATGTTATGTGAGTTTTACTTCTAAATACATTATCATTACCCTTTCAGTTGATGTGCAACTCCTTACGCATTTCAGAAATGAGATTTTAAAACAAAATTAACAAATTTTAATATTATTTAATTTAAATTACAAAACTAACAACGAAAAGGTATTCACAATCCAGGGGCATACAGTGTCTGGCTTCCCTCCTTCTAAGAGTAGCTGAAGCTGGAATAACAGGTTGACCTGGGGAAATTTTACTATAATAGCATTGCATATGCAGGGTCTGGCACAAATAATGCCCCTTTTTATTACAGAATCTTTTATTACGCAATCTGAAGCATGGAATTCTGTAACATAATATCACACTCAAGCACACCACAGGACGTTTTAGGTAAAAATGTTCAAATTAAAACTGAATTAGGACACCCATGTCATTACCCTCCTGACCACACTCACACAGGCGCTACTTCTGTCGGACCCTGCATTTGCGTCACTGCTGGACTGGCCAAATACTATGTTTCTAGAGCTCCCTTGCCTTATTAAAACAAATTTTCTTACATAGAGAGGAGTTCTGGGGGTTTGAGTCGGTTCAGTGCTGAGAACACAGTTAAACTTTATGATAAGGTCTATCTATGACTGCCTGTTGAAGACCAATTAAAACAGCATTGTTTGGAACTAATACTAAAAAGCTATTTAATTCATTAATACATCCATCTGCCAAGAAAAATTTTGGGTAACATCTGAATTTAAGAAAAGAATGGTACAGAAAATCTTCTGGGAAACAACAATTATACAGACTGTTCCAAACCCTGACAGATAAGAGTATAGAATGAAAAGTCCAAAAAGCTAATATAATTAAATGGATTTAAATTTCCAAATCAGTTATCACTAGGACTTTCTGAGTTCTTCAGACTGTTTACTTAGTATACGTAACTACAGAAGGGCTAGTCTTTAGGAAACTGCTTTGAGAGGCAGAACAGCAGGGCGGATGAGCAGACCCAGCAGGCTCAGCCTCTTCCCCAATGTGGGATCTAGATGCTTCTGTAACTGCTTCCAACTCACTGCTGTTTCCTCATCAGAGAAATAAGGAAAAACAGTGCCTCCCTCCTAGGGTGGTTGTGAAAGTTAAAGGAGTGAATACCTATAAAGCACGTAGGAAGTATCCAGTGAACTTAGCTATTATCCTTATTGCTTTATTTAAATACTGGAAAGGCTTAAGAAAGCATTCACAAAAGGAAGTAAGTCCTCTTGGTTTGTTTGTTTCCACTCTACTTCTAGGAGAAGGACAAGGCCATAGGAGACCTATGTTCAGAGACATGATCCATCGCTCACTGCCCTCCAGTCATTCAGCAGCACTGACCGAACAACCGCCCGTGCCAGACGCTGCCCCAGCATCAGGCGTGATTACCCTGGGAGCTCCGATCCTGGCAAGTCAGCGACATGCCGAAGCTGTTTCCTGTTCTGCAAAATGGACGTAGCATCTACTTGTCTAATTCATCGAGTTATGCCGAAGCTCAAATGAGGCAAAATGCATAAAAGTACTTTGAAGCTTTCGTAAAGCACCATCAGAGTATGTTACAAGAATGCGGTTTGGGGTGAGTAGTCTAGATCCTCTCAAAGGAAGTTTATTACTCCAAGAAGGTCTGCAAAATTGTTTAAAACTAAAACTGCGAGTACACTTCTTTATAACTATATGTCACTCATAAAATAGTAATATGCTTTATTATATGCTTTATAAAACTGTATTTCTTCTCTCGAATCCCAACTCTGTGAAGAATATTAACGTATCAGATAGCTGAGAGAAAGTTTCCTTTAGAAACTGTGGTTGCAGAGATGTCGAGGCATGTGGTTATGGTCATAAGTTATTATCAACTATGCCAATAATTAGCATTTTCGTTAATTGCTAAATGCTTCGCAAACACTATTTCATTGCATCCTTACAGCAGCCCCATGAGGTAGGGGCAGTAGCCCCATTTTATACGGTTAGAATCCAAATGATGGCAAAGTCCCACCCTTAACCGCTACATTCCATTACATACACAATAAAAACACCAGAAGCAGTAGCAGCTATAAACATTTCTGTCTTCACCAAAGCACACCCTTAAAACTGGTAGATCTAAGAGCTCTAAACTATGTTTTGATCTTTGGTAATAAAAGTGACTTTAGAAAAGCTATTATATAATAAGTGCTTACTATTCAGTTCATTTAAACTTGTTAAAAAAATTTCCTGTTGGTTTTTCAAAAATAACACATTGCTCACTGAAAAAAAAAAAGTAGAATTAAAATAAAAATATTCATCGTTCCACCGTTCAGGAGAAGCACAGCTGACACAACCCTTCTAGATTTTAATGCAGCTGCGAACTATGGAGCTGAGCTGGTTTCTGATGTCTGCCCTTAAAAATGACACCAACTACAATGGCCAGACTGTCCTTGCTGTAAACAGTAGATATAAACCAATAGCAAATTCTGTACAAGCAGAAAAATATTAGAGACAGTATTATCAACATCTTCCCAAATTTTTTAACTATAGAGAAACAAGCAGAGAGTAACTATTTCAGTGGTGTTAGCGCAAAAAAACTTATTGGCCATAAGAGAAACTTGGGTGAGAAATTCCTGAGTTGATCTTTGTTCTGTGTATGTACATACACATACACACACTCACCCATACATATTAAATCCCCCTTTTAGCTGTAAGATGTATAGCTTTCTACAGGCCTGATAACAAATATATTAGAACCATTAAGGAGAAAATTGTTTTTTTTTAGTCACTGAACTTTGCCAAAATTACACTTATGGGTGATTAAATTGTAAAGTATTCCCTTGTGCACAGTTGTTAAGTATTTGCTTGAGACAGTATATTTGAGATAAGGAAAAATTTTTTCAGGGATCATCTCAATCCAGAGCATAAATGCAGAAAGAAAAAATGTGAAATGGTATCACAGAGACTGGTAGAAAAAATAGTGACAAACCAGTAAAATAATTTAGGGCAAGGATTCTAAGTACTACATAAAGTGTTTGTAATGCCACACTCCTGACACTTTGATTAGATGACTTGCACTATTATTGGGTAACATCATTTATGCACAAAAAATAGCGAAAGTTAAAAATACAGACGTTCCTATGGAAAACAGAAGGCAGACAGGATCAAGAAATTTTTAAAAGTAATCTTCCTTGTACTTCCTCTTATGTAACAGATGTTAGTCATGAGTTCCAGGAAGCTATTTATATTGCTTTAGTATAATTTACAAAGTTATACTAATTACATAAATAATACTTTGACTATAAAAACAATGCAGACTGGTGGATGGGTAAGAGTAAGAACGGTTCGTAATGTGAAACACCGTCTAGAACACAGGTGGCAAGCACAAGGCCCTCGGGCCGAACGCGGCCTCCACCTTGTTTCCACCCGGCAGCAGTGCCGAGCTCTCGCTTAACTGTTAAGGAGGAGTTACATTTATACAGTCCTAAAGTTGTATTCAGCCCTTTGAAGGCAACCGTGAGGCCGATGGTAGCCCCCGGTGAAAATGAGTTTGACACCCCTGGTCCAGATAAAGGAAACATTAATAGATTCTAAGAAATATTTTTGGATTTTTAAAAATGCTCACGTGTCTATATGTACAATATTGAAAAATTAATTATCAGATATATCTGAATTAGCAAGTTTAAATTTTATAAACTCCTTTAGAGAGTGAAACTGTTTATGTCCTTAAATAGGAAAAGATAAAGCCAAAACATTCTCATCCTGACCAACTGGAAATGAGAAGTATAATAAAATGATATTAGAAAAGTGACTGTGTCCTATTCTCCATAAAAGAGAATACTAACATTACAAGTATTTTTCCTACAAAACTTTTTTGGGAGAGAAAAGGCTTATGAGGTAATTACATATAATTTCAAACAGAATTCTCTACATTTACACCTCTTTCAATAGCTTTAGCAGGTTACAATTTAGTCAAAGGACGGGACCTGCGCATTTCCGTGCTTCAGAGATTTAGCTAACCTGAATGAGAGACAGTATGTACAAAACTGTACTTCAAAACATGGAAGAAAATAGGCAGATGACACCGCTTAAAAGATTATACTTCAAACTTCGTTTTTGAAGGGGGGAAGGCACATGCCATATTATCTATATTTATTGAATATGGTTCACCTGATTTTTTTTTAAACCTCGTAAGCTGATTAAATCACAAACATGTTGAATCAGTTTTAGTAAAAACAAGACTAGGCTTTTCAAATAGCCTAGTTTTAAATAGTTATATAGGGAAATTATGAAAAACTTTCAATATATTTGGGGCTAAAAAAACCCCAATGTTATCAAATCCCTGTATATTTCAGCCTTAATATTTTAAAGAATAACATATTAGGATACACTATACATAGCAATAGCATGAAAGTGCAACACATTGAAATTTTCAATTGAAAGGTATAAAAGTGTTTAAAAAAACACATTACAATAAATGGTCATAACTTAAATTCTGATTATGGGAATCAAAAATACCAAAATCCAACAAACTGCATTTAATGCTTACAAGTGAAATGTAAATTTCTGAAACATACATACCCCCTGACATCAGATTCAGCTGCCACAGTTATCATCACAGTTTATCACAGGAACGTGTCCCTAAGCTCCTTGGTCCTTGGGAGTCCTATTTACGAGGACTCCTTCATTACCTGGTAAGGCTGTTTGTTCCAAAAACAGTTAAGGAGTGAGTCTATATGTCCTTAGAAACTTTTCTGTGTAGAGTTATAAGGCATTAATGATGGTAATTTAGAATAGCAAGTAACAAAATAGATACAAATTCTCTCTTCAGTGTATCTCAACTGAGAAAACTGCAGAGGGGAACAGAGAACACATTTACCACCCAGGTCCTCTTAGAGCTGCTACTGTGACAAAGACTTCTGGGGGAAGCAGGGGCGCTTGGAAAAGACCTCACGCCTGGAATGTCAGGTGTCCTCATAACCAACATGGAAACCGAATCTTGGGTTCTCTTTAAAGTTATTGTGAAATCTACACATTCAAATGTGCTGCTCACTGTTAAAGGTAGAAAAAGTTAGTTAAAATATTTGTTGTTGTTATCAGTAACCACTGAAAATTATCTCAGGGTAATATTCCCTACTGTCAGTGTGGATGTAAATCACGCGGCAATAGCAGCATAGATTGCAACATCGTAGTTCAGATGATGGTCAGCGACTTAGCTGGTGCCCAGCCAGAAGGAAGGAATTTGTTTATAATAAATAATTAAATAAGGAGCATAGCTGTACTTTAATGTCAGTTGCATGAACTGAGCAGTGGGTTTCTCAGTATCCAGAGAAGAAGTCAAGTTTCTCGCCGTGAGTTACAGTGACGGGGGCGCGGAGGACAGGTGGCGGTGCAGGCCGGCTGCTAGCTAGCTCGCTAAAACACGTACTTGAGCTCTACCGGAGCCACGAGGCCTGGCTGCGCACCGGTTATCTGTAGGGGCTGACTGAACAAAACTCCCTTCATCATACAGGCGCTGCCGTCCGCGCTGCAGTAGTAAAGAAACACGCGGACAGATACGACGGCTTCAGGTGACGGGCAGTCCCCAGGAATCTGCAGTGAGATGGTTGGCTGGTTGGAGACACTCTCGATTTCTCCAGATGGCACCTGTCCTTGAAGAAGCCATTCGTTGTCTAAAAAAATAAAAAGGTAAATTGTTCAGACTGTATAAGATAAAGTATTCAGGAACATAATCGGAAAACTACAAAAACAAGGCAGGATCTACAAATGTCTGTATTAACTCTACAGGGACTTACTTGCAAAGTAAAATTATAATAAATCATTGACTATCAAAAGGTAATAACCAAAAAATAACAGATTTTTAGAAATAGTAACAATGCATATATTATTCTAATGGGCTCAAACAATGTAAAAACTAGAAGATTTTATCTACCTCTTTTTAACACATAAAACTCTTTTAAGATGTAAATACACAGATTATATAACAAAAGTCTAATAAACCAGCAAAAACTTTAACTTTCTAGTATTTAAAAATTCCAATGTCTTTATTCATCTGGTGCCTTTTGTCAGAAAGAAAACATGTCCCGTGTTGCAGAAGCATGTACTCACAGACACGCAGCTTTAGAGGGGGTAGAGGTCAGGAGCCCGCATTTGGGAGACGCAGGACATGCTCTCCTGCTCTCACAGAGAACGCACTGCACAGAACCCAATGACTTACCGACGACCTGGGCCGTCTGTACGACGACCGACGCTCCTATTGGGCAGTGGTGAGATGCTACGCCTACTCCTTAGCTTTCCTGTCTCCTCTGGCCTCAGAATGAGCCAGCACTCAGAGCACCTGTCTCCACTTGTCCTCTCCATCTTTTTAGTTTATTTTTAGTTTATTGCTTCTAATATTCTGTTGACCGAGAGATCAAATCCGAGAAAAACATGTCAAACAAGAGTAAGGAGATGGTGGAAGGTGAGAATCTGAAGAGTTAAATTAAGTCCAGAGTTTTTAAACATTTATTTAAAATTCTCTTTAAAATTCTTTGGCCTTCTTTATTTCTGGACTGAGGAGTGTGTTTTGTTTTATTGAATGTTTAATTTTTCAAAACAGCAGGTTGGTGGGGAACTTCTTATGTTTTAAATCAAACGGCAAAGTAAACTGGGCTATTTTAGTATCTAATTCTAGATAAAACACAGAGAACACTTCATTAGATATTTTTCAGATGCGTTCATTCCACGTGGGATTTGTGAAGTTATTATGTGTTAGTGGGGCTTTCATGCTGTTTTGGCTTAAAACCTTCACATATGCTGAAAACTTTAAGATTATACAGGCCAAAGTTTAGTTAAAAATAAGTGACTCTGTCTTTCAGTAACTGGTCAAGAAAAAAAAAGTCCTTTATCATAGGTGTACAAATGTACCCTCTAAAATAATTTTCAAAAATCCTACCGTACTGGGATTCTTGCATGAAACTTCATTTGCTCCCATACAGTAAAAATGGACAAGTGATAAAGCATTTGCAGACCCCACCCCTTCCTTCTAATACTACCCACATTTGTATTCCAATGACTCAGTATGAATATGGGTTTAATGAAGCGGAGTTAGAGTAAACATGCTAATGTGTCATATCCTATTTTAAAAATCAATATACTGCTCTTTAATTTTACATTAACTTAAATGAAATTAACAGGGATCCCCAATTGATACAATGATTTTAGACTAATGGACCCAGGCAGAATGAACAGGCAGCTGGGACCTTGGTCTAAGCCTACGGAAGAGTGAGGAATGGTCTGGGTGTGAGTGATCTTCTATCTGCAGACCTAGCTCCAAACGCCCTCCCAGTACTGCATGGCTCTGCCCTCTCTTGTGTGCAGAATGGTGTGGGGTGGGTAGTTTCCCCACAGGCTCAGTCACGCCAGAACCAGACTCCCAGATTCTAACCCAGCAGCTCCTCCTGGCCGGCCCACCAATATCTCTCTGATGTCTTGGTGTGAACACCACGTGGCCTGTTGCAGGACAGGAGCTGCCACCCTGAGAACGCACCAAGGTGAGAAGGCGCAGAGCCTGGGTCTGGGTGATGTACGTAAGAGAAGTGTGTGAGACGGAAGGAGGGAGGAGGGGTTGAGGAGGAAATGGAAGACTGAGTGAGAACACAAGACACAGCGTGGGGGACCAGGCCAGAGGGAGATCACAGGAGATGAGGAGTCAGAGTTGAGTTCTAGCTGATTAGTGTCTTACTGTATAATTATTGTCCAGACCATCAGAGATGCTGGGAAACACCACTATAAGACAGGCAGGATACTGATTCCTTATATAAATTAGTAAGTTCATACTGATTGAAACACACATTCAAATCTTTACATAATTTACAGTAATTCAATACTTTGAGACTAGACACAAACAGGAAGTGTTCTTAGATTAAAAGACCACAAATTAGAAAGTGAGGACAAAAGCTCTGCCTGGATCCTGATCTCGGCAATTCACATGTGTTCAATTACACACCCTCCAACTATGTGTATTCTTCTACTTGAATGACGTATTTTTAAAATATGGCTTTGGAATCCATTTTCTTGTGGTAAGCAAGTTATAGCGTGTAAATTGTACCTCCGGCATCTCTGAAAAGGAAAATGCAGCTTCAGGCTTAATAACTGGTACGTCAAGTCTTAATGATACTATTATATTGAAATAAACAGCAATCGAAAGCTCTGAAACACTTGACAGATGCTACCTGGAAAAGTGAGACAATAAAGCAACGAAAGAACTGAACTGGAAGGAGCTGTGTCAAGTCACTTCAGTAAAAAAAAAAAACAACAACACGTTTTTTTAAAAACATCATACTTGGGGGGGGGATCAATTTAATTCTTTAGAATCTGTGAGATTCTATTACTGTGTTACTGAAAGGTATAGTGTAGACACAATGAATACTGGACCAGAACTCCAGAGACCTAAGTTGATGGCGCAGTACCTGCCACTGAGGCGGACCCTGCCTCCACCCCGGGCTCAATTTGGCCCACTAGGAACAGCCTCCCTGTGGACTGCACTGGCCTTCCCCCCATCACAGCCGGCCGCAGGCTGGTCAGGACTCACCCTCCTGCAGGACCCCTTTCTCTCTCCGAACCTCCCCCCACTCTCTCTCAGTTGATGGCCTGTGTTTCCCAACGTGCTCAGAAAACAGAAGCACCAGAAAAAGGTTTCCACGAGCACCTTCCTCCACTGCTACCCATCTAGGCCTCGGGGTCACACACGAGGGGCCTTGGATCCTCACCGTGCACGTGTCCGCATTCCTGGCAGAGGCCAGCTTTCTACCTGCGCACTCAGTCCCACTCCCTCTCAAACCCTAAGGCACCCCCACCCCACCACATATCAAAAGTCTCTTTTCTATTGGATCTTCACCACCAATAAACATGCTGCTTTCTCAACAACATCCTTCCAACAACTGCTCTATTTCCCCTTAATTTTGTAGCTAAACTCCTGAGTTTTATCTGTGTTTGCTTTCTCTAATTCTTCTTCTCAGAGGCTCTATCCTTTTTTAACCTCTAGCATCTCCTCCATCATTCTGAAATGGCTGAGGGTTAGGACATCAGCCAACTCTGTAACATTAAATCAATGATCGATTCCTTGTCCTTCTCTTTCCTGGTCTATCAGTAGCGCTTGACCTGGCTGGTCTTTCCATTTACACCACCTGGCTGCAGGCAACTACTCTCTCTGGGTTTTGCTCCCACTTGCTACTCACTCAAACGTCTCCTTTCCTGGCCCCTCCACGTCCTCTGAGCTCTCTCTCTGTCGGAGCGCTCCAGACGGTGCGGCTCCAAGAGCAGTCCGAGGTCCGGGTTCACCCAGACACCAAAGTGAGGTAAACACAGGAACTCAGGGTAAGGTTCAGAAACTTTCACAACACCCAAATGTGTAACAGGTGGCTTTGAACTTTGTCTTTTTAAATAAATGAAATTCATTTTTAGGGCTAATCGTCCTAGACTAGTTTGAGAGGGAGTAACACAATGGAAAAGACACTGAACTAAGAACAGGCAGAACTGGGTTCAAATTCCACTTTTTGACCTAATTCAACAACATAGGCGCTTGAGCGTTTGCGGTAATCAGCATAATAAGCATTCAGTAGAGTCACTGTCTCTCTGAGCCCTTCACGTCCCCGTAATAGACAGTGTGTGTTGTCACGGCTCTAAGATCCGAGGACCTATCATTCCGAGACTAGAGAAGTCTGCCGCATGTGATGGACTCGCCTAGTAGCAAATGGGGGCAATTGTGACTGAGTAATTTTGGGTGAGTTACACTGTTGCTTAGAAAAGAATTTCTAAGACTAAAGAAAACTGATAAAATGGGGTTAGATCTGGATCTATTTTGTCACAAGACTTCCCTCAAATCCTGCCCAACTGGAGAGTGAAAACATCATATACAAATGAGAAAGATTACTAGATTAATCAAGACTTTATGAAATATTGGTATTTGCAAGACTAGTCTCACACCTTCGGCTGTTAGAAACCAGCAACTGGGCGCCCCTTCGGTCAGCTTTGCTCCTGGCGGGAAGTCTAGTCTGAGCTTGAACTGAAGAGTCTGTCCTGGAGAGGTGGCCACGGGGGCGAGTCTGATGCTGGGGGCCGACTTGGGCAGTTTGGGGACCGTCTTCTGGTTTTCTCCTGGGGATGGGCCATCTACCACAGCATTTCCAGCTCTGAAGACTGGGAGCTAGGAAATAAGAAAATTTGTTTACTAAAGCACAGGTACTTTAAAGTAATTATAGAGTGAGAGAGTTTTAGACTTCAGTCTAAAATGAGGTTCAGAAATATATTTCATTCTGGCTAAAAGATCACCAACACTTGGGAATGAAACAATTAAATTAATTGTTCAGTATGTTTGTAAATGACAGGAAATTAAAGTAAAACTGTACCCATTTCAATGTAGTGTATATAATAATATACATCTTCTTAAAATTTTCATTGTCCACTGTATGATGTCACTTATATCAGAGATCTACGACAGGAGAAATGATACTTACGTGACACTTACAACAACAATCTGTTTTTATTTTAAAATGTACCTTGGAAATTCCTAGCATTTGGGGGGGAAAAAAACTCTTGCATTTTTTTTTCAGGCAAATGTGATACATCAAGAAAAAACTTAAATTTTATTAGAGACCATAACTATATCTTTAAAAATTCATTAGAACTTTTTATTTCAATCTTATTTTCAATGTTTTGAGAAATGTGGCTTCTAGATTTCTTTGGAAGATCATTTGGTAATGAATTCACCATAGGAAACAAGATTACACATTAATCTAACATCATTGAAAATAAGACTGAACCCCACCTACACAGTATGTATGCAGAGTGTGTATCAGTACGTGTACATATTTATTTATTTAAATTCACAAGTTTTACTTACTTTTATTTTGTCTGTTGCTTACACGATTACAGATGTCCCGTTTGGACATCGCTGTCGTGTCTATGGGGTTTGCATATATTTAAAAGCAGATGAGTCCTTCTCTTTTTCTTTTCTAAAAGTTCACCAAATTCTTTCCAATTTCCAGTGTCTTTCTCAAACACTCATGACCCAACTGGAATCTTTCACTTTAAGACTGATGATGTCCTTGAAACAGACACGCACGTACTATGCTGCCTACGTCCACTCTCACCAGAGATCAACCAACCCAAGTGCTGGTCAGCGCTGTGAGGATCTCAGAGTCATTCATAAAATGATACCCCTCAACTTATACTTTAAGATTACTTACCACAGAAATTGTTTTTGTTTCTAAATCCATCACTTTAATTTGATGATTATTTGTGTCTGCTACATATAATAACTGGCCATTCTCTCCAATACACAAGCCTCCTGGTTCATTAAAAGATGACTCGGTAAAACTGGAACTGACGTTACTTGCATCTCCAGTTCCTGCTAATGTTATACAGTTCTTTGTTTTTGGATCCACAACTTTAATCTTAAAAAACAAAAACAAAAACAAAACTCATGTTTGTTGTATGGAAAAGTACAGTACCAAACAAGCCAGAGAATTCTACTTCTCGTTAGTATTCATTAAAAAATCACAGAAAAATAAATGTTTCTCTATTTTCTTGAAAAAGCCAAACATTGAAAAGCCAAACATTGAAATGATAGTCTAAGGCACAGGTGGCAAACACAAGGCCCTCGGGCCCGATCCGGCCTCCACCTTGTTTCTCCCCGTGGACAGCGCCGAGCTCCTTGCCCCCAGTTAGGGAGCAGTTACGCTGACACAGCCCTAAGTTACATTCCGCCCTTGGAAGGCGACCGGAAGGCTGATGTGGCCCCCAGTGAAAGTGAGTTCGACAGCCCTCGGGCAAGGGGAGACCCTCCGTTCTGCGAGCTGAACAGTATGTGTGCGATATCCCCAGTTACGTTTTGTCCTCTGGAAGCAATGTTTGATGAAGTTATTTCTGAAATTAAAAATTTTCAAAATGTTACTCTTTTTTCTCACAACAGGACACAGTTGAACTGACTTCTCATGGGCATTTAACACTGGCTGAGGACTGGCTTAAAACTTAATGATTTCCACTGTCTCAACTGTATTAAATTCATAGTCTCTCATCACAAAATATGTTCTATTTCTATAATAATAGAAATAGTTGGATAGTTAGTGAAATGCTCCTTTTAATTCCATTTTCATGGAATTATTTGCTAATAGGCGCTGCAACTATGCAACAGCTCCAAAACGTTTGTTAAACGCCACTGCAATTTCTGGGTTACCTGCCTTCTCCTTATTTACGGAATTTGTTACTGAGCAGCTTTGATGGCTGCAAGTCACAATTTTAGCAACAGCCATAGCGATGTGTTTTTTCTCCTTTCCCAAGCTGGGTGTGCTACCGTGACCTCTTTGCAAAGAAAGGACCGAGAAAAGAACCAAGGCCATAGTTGTCAAAGACTGGTATGCCCCTTTATGTTTTAGAGTGGCAAATTGTAGGAGGCTCACAGGTTTCTCAGCATCTTAAATACCACAGATGAAAAGCAAGGTGTTACATAATTCTGTCAAAACTCACCTTGTGATTATAAGAGTCTGCCACATAAAGCAAATTCCTTTTCTTGTCCCATGTTACTCCAAGTGGGTGCTGAAGCTTTGCGCTGATTCCTACTCCATCCACATCACCAAAAGCAAACAGGTTCTTTGTTTTAAAAAAGAAAAATACAGCACATATTAAAATTGTTACGGTGTTTTGTTAGCACATAAAGTGAAAAATAAGATGACTGTATGTGCTACTAACTTAAAAGGGAAAAGATGTGACTACATATAAACAGAGCTGGGCATCTGTTTCAGACAAGAAAAACCTGATAGAATGTTGAACCTCTACTCATTTGTGGTGCTTAGCTTTAATGACAATAAGCACACACCTAGTCAGGAAAAGGCCAGGTCTACCAATCTGGTCCTCTTTCCACCATCCTGTCAAATGTGTACTTTACATTTTCCTCTTCTTTCACTAATCTGTATTTTATCCTTTCTTTTCTCTCTGGACCTTGACATTTATGTATCATCAAGCAGAGTAAGTTTACTTTTCTTAGATGGCTTTGTTTGCGCTTCTTTATATTCACATTGACTTCCACTTTAACCTATGGATAGGCCAAGAACTCTCTCTCACATTTTATGAACAGTTCAAAGTACAGGAGGCTGCAGACTCGGGGAGTGTCTGGGTGCACGTGCAGGAGGGACTTTCATTACCATGGGATCCCTTTCTCCTCCTACGAGGGGCTTCACAGCTCCGTCCATCAGAGAGACCATCCTCACTGTGCTGCTCTCACTGTCGGCCACGAACAGGCAGCTCCAGGGCTGCTCCGAGGCCAGGGCGAGGCCCGACGGCTGGGCGAAGCCCGCCTTGTGAGGATACGCGTTATTTCGGTTCTCCTCGTTTCCACTGCCAGCAAACCGGAGGCAGGTTCCTTTTTTTAACTCACTGAAAGAGAAAGACAAGATCAACATTGTTATATTGTATCCAATTTAGCTATTAAACAAATGTGAGAAAATCAATGGTGGTAGGCATTGTAAAAATAAAAATCTAGTGATCTTAGCTTAGTAAAATTGTGCAAGTCAGCTTTCACGGCAGTTTTTCTAATCATTAACTTATTTATCTACAGTGTAGGGACCTTTACACTTTTTTTGACATACTGTAACTATTCTCAATGGTCAAATAAGAAATCCCTGGCAAGGTGAGACTTATAAGAATACCGAGCACATCATTGATGGGACACATTTTTTCCCTCCAAATATGCAGAGATAGGTACAGCTAGATACCATTTTAATAACTTCTTAGCTTAATACAATGTTAGGTTCTGAAAGGGAATTAAGATTTTCAGAGGATCCAAGATGGTGGCAGACTAGGTGGGAGCTACACTTGCCCCCTCCCAGAACCAAACTGGAATTACAGATAAATTATAGAACAATCATCCTGAATAACCAGGTAAAGAGTAGCTGAAGAGAAGCCATACAACCAAGGATTTAAAGAAGCAGCCACACTGAGACAGGCAGGAAGAGCGGAGATGCGAAAAAGGCTGGCCCACTCTCCCAGAGGCCATGGCTGAGGCTCCGGAGGGATGTCTCAGATGTGGGGGTTCTACCTGAGAAGCGTGGGGTCTAGCTCCCAAGTCAGTCCCAAGTCAGGCTCCACAGCCCACAGCACCAGAGCCAGGAAGAGGTGCCCACATAATATCCGGCTGGGAAAAGGAGTGGGGTTTCTGTCCACCAGGAAGAAATGGCTAGAGGCACAGGCAGCCTCTGAAGAGGCCAATATATAACATTTCATTTGTAGCCACTCACCTTGGGCTCTGGCACAGAGAGGGAGCGCGGTCTGGGGTTTGTGGCTCTGGGGAGAGAGCTGGAGGTCAGCTGCCAGGATCCCAGTGCAGAGTTATTTGCCCACACTGCAGACCCCATCTTTCTTAGGTGGCGTGACCCCCTCCTTACGGAATCAGTGTGGGGGAAAGCAACAGCCTCACCAGGTAGAGTTACACCCTGCTGAGGTGTAACTGCAGCCAGAGGCCCTTTCAGTGACTGAAGCCTACCAGGCAGCCGGCAGGCAAAGACAGATCTCAGGGTGCTTTAGGACTTTTGCTGACCTGCCCTGGGCCCGGTGCTGATAAAAGCTGGCCTTGGTATGCCGCTTAGTCCTTCCCATGCATACCCAAGCCCAGCAGAGGCAGCCACAACCTGTGGATTGCTGGCAGCTCCAAACAGGTTGCCCAGGGCCAGTTACAGGCAGCATCTGGCACTGGTCTGCACCAGATTTTCCCCAAGAGGCCCCAAACCAACACACCCAGTGGCCAGCGTCAGACAACAGAGAAGGATCCAATAAGCTTCACAAGCTGCACATACAAAAGAAGATCACAGCAGGCACCAAACCCTGCTCAACACAGCCATCACTAAGAACACTGTGGTCATCTCTCGTTTCTTCTTATGTCTCATGTGCAATGCTGTTGGTCACTTCACTGTTCAGGCCACTGTCATCTCTTGCCTGGATAATTGCAATAGCCTCCCCGCTGGTAACTATGTCTTTAGTCTCATCTCTCACCAAATGCTGCCCGTGTTCTTTCAAAAGCACAAATCTTATGTCACTTCCCAGCTTAACATTTTCTAGAAAGGTATGTAGAATAATGTTCAAATCTCTTAAAAGGGCTCACAAGGAATTTTGTGAGGTGGCTTCTACTGACTTTACTAGAGTCATTCTTGCCTGGAAAACCTCCCCTCTCCCGGTCTAACTCCTACTCCTCCACCAGGTTTTTAATTTAGAAGATTCTTCCAGGAAGCTTTCCTGGCTGGATTTCAGGTGTCCTTATTTACATGAGGGACAATTTCGATGTGAAGGACTTCTACACACAGCACCTGTGCTTCCCAACTATGGTTTATAAACTATGATTTATTTTTTGTTTCTGATTCCTCCTCCGCAAGCCTACATTTTCTAATTTTATTCTTAATTAGTCAACACACTTCATCGCTATTGCCTTGCATAGTGCCTAGCATACAGTATATTTAATACGTAGCTGCTAGTGAATGATGATAGTATGTTTAACAAACAGTTAGATGAATGACTGAATGTTGCAGAACATCACACAGTGAAACACACACACATATACTATTTGAAATATATCTGATATTTTGGATTATCTACACATCTGCTCCTTTCCACTGACAAAAGAAACTGAGATGACAGGCACCTTCTATGCTGACTTGACGGTCTTTCTGGTCTATGACTTTTATTCATTTATTTATTCTGCAAACCCTTACTGGACTCCTATTATGTACCAGACACTGTGCTAGGTACAGCGACACAAAAATAAATGATAAGGGACCCCTTCCTTTAAGAGGCAACCTAGTAAGACAAAACAGTTACGTATACAAGTAAGTGCAACCAAAAGCAGAGAAGGAGAGACAGAGGGAGGGAGAGAGGTGGGAGGGGAGGAGAGAAAAACCGACTACATGAGAAGTGTAGTGCAACCACAGTTAAGAGCACGGTCAGAGTTCTACCTGGAGTGTTACAAAGTGGAAAGGTTCTGTCGAAAAGACGTTAAGTACTTTGTAGGGACATTTTTCATCTTTATATCCCCTCAGTGGCAACAAAGCTATGAACATTTACTGAATATGTCAGGCATTAAGTGAGCTCTTCACACATATTATTAATTCTCAAACAAGCCCAGAAGGGAGGTATAAATGAGGAAACTGAGCTCAGAAAGTTCCAGTAGCTCTCCTGAGCTCACCTAGATCGGAGATGGCAGAGCCAGCACCAATCAGGCCTGACTACAAAGCCTGTGTTATTAACCGCAGTCCTTCACAGTGCTCCAATACCTGTTAGCAGTCAAGGGCACCTGAACTGCGTGTTGAAGACAAGTGCCCACCAAATGTCTCCAGCCCTCCCTTTGGCTGCATGGTGGGACTGCTAGTCCCAGGTTCCTTGAAGTTAGGTGGGTGTGCTCATGAGGCTCACTCTGGCTGATGAAGGTCAGAAGTGATATGTCACTTCTGACTAGGAGCTTGAGAAGCGAGTCTGCACCCTCGCTCTCTGCCAGGACCACCGGCAGAGCTCCAGACGGTGGCTGCTGCGTGTCTGTGTGGCACAGCGGCGCTTCCAGTGAGCCCCGGGGGTGAGCGAGAAAGCAAACCCGTCCTAACCCACCAAGTGTCCGAGCGCTGTGTTAGTTACCATAGGACGTGTCCCAGCACATCCTGACGAGTCCCGAGTGTCCAGAGGATGGACACTCGGGGAAGGGAATTCTGTGAACTCCGAGTCTGCAGTTTGCTCAGAAAGAGACGTTGCCAGTTACCTTTTCTTTGGCAGTCGGCCACAGTCCAACAGAAGTGCCCATATCTGGTGAGTTCCTGCCATGGCTATCCACAGAATGTCGTCTCTTTGGATCTCTGAATCTTTGTAAAAATAAATAGTAAATATTATGTATGTATTTGGTTCATACAAAAATACCAATTTTTTGAGAAATTTAAGAAAAGACAGCAATATATTTATAAATCATCTGATAGAAAAAATAAAAATATTTCAATGTTTTAACTGGTTTTTGAAAATTTTCTATTTCCTTTATCAAAAATATACTTCTTTAGACTTATAAATTTACCTGTAAATTCACAGAAATCCAAAGTATTAGTAATAGTAATATGTCCCTACATCTGTGGGCACATTGTTTGTAAACATTTTTTTATTTTATGTGATAAAATAAATGGGTTGACATATACTTTCCAAAGAAGCTGGCACTCAAATACCTAGCACTAACCACCTCGGTGATATACTTAGTAACAGGTTCTTTGAACAATTTCTCATGAACAAACTGCCTCTTTTCACAGATTAAGAGCCGTGTCTTCCTACCGCAGCGTCAGCTTTCAGACTGAGACGCACACCACGACTGCTCTCGAAGTAGCAGCCGCGCAACCTGCTAGGAAACTTGTTCTAAAAGGTACAGATGACATGCGAAAAAGCTAAGAGTACAACATATTACTAGTATATTGTAATACAGTAATATCACTCACTTTATGAAAATTAAGAAATGTTCACTAAAATTAAATAATTAAAATGAATAATAGTTGTAAAAATTAATTTACCACCTCTTACAATGTGACGAGGCTCTATGTTTCAAATTAACTTTATTGTTAAAATATTTAAGTATTTTAATTTTATGTATTCTGGGGTTACTTTAATGTATCAGACATTTTAACTACTATAACTTGTTCAGGGATATACTCCCAGAAATGATCTTGGCAAGGTTATTTTGTTTATACTTCCTTTAATTCAAGCAGTTTGTATTTAAAAGGAAGTCTTCTTCCTTAACTTGCATTACTTTCAAGTGCCTTTCAGTTTAACAACAAAAAAAGGATGACAACGGTTCTCAATCTGTGGTCGCTAGTGCCAAGCATTTTACAGAGGTTACCATTTATTGTATTTTCGGACCATAAGATGCACCCAGGTTTTAGAGGAAAATGGGAACAAAATTTTTGAAGCAAAGAAAGTGGTAAAATATAACATAATATTTCACTATGTAAATGTGTGAACAACTCAATAGCAGCATTAACCACCATCGTTCGTCCCAAACTGGGGAGGGGGGCATGCATCTTATCCTCCAAAAATACTCTGCGTTTTCTTGAAGGTTTTCACATGCTTTTCTCTCTGTGTTCTTAATTGCTATCCTATAAAATATAAAGGAAGACAGTTTATTTCAATTTAATTTTTCAGAGTCAAGTATTTTTATAAACATAAACTGTATTAAAAGTAACAATGACATCCGTATATTCTGGGGATTCAGTCTTTGTTTAGTTATTTTAAAACTAAATCAGAGATTTTCTAAATTATTTTATTTTGCTCCTTCCATGGAATGATAAAGTGGGAAGGTGACTGACTATAAGCCAAAAGAGAGCCCTCACCGGAAACTGCTGTCACCTTGACCTTGGACTTCTAGACTTCAAAACTGTGAGGAAACAAATTTCCTCACATTTATTGTTTAAGCAACCCAGTCTGTGGTATTTTGTCATGGCCACTTGAGCTTAGACATTCCCTTGAGAACAGAAATGAGACGAGGATGTCTGCTATTAATGCTGACTTAGCCTCATACAAAGGTCCTACTATGTACATCAAGAAAAGTGTAATTAGACATAAAACTATAATTATTACATGATAACAGGCTTTTAAAGCCACTACCTTGCCAAAAAAGAGCATCAGGCTCTCCAAACAGGCCGGTCTAGGGCAACTGGGGTCTACTGTGGGAGGACAAGAGTGTCACTGTCGTGGTCTCGGTGTGCTTACTTCCTTCAAAAGCTCAAGGAATGAGAAGAAGTGCCCAGACTGTGTCAGGTCAGGATTCGGGTGTTTGCGATTCTACATACCAAGTGGTGGTGGAAGTGAAAGGATAACCGTCTGAATATTTCCTATGTTTAAGGTACTGAGATAATACACACTTTACATGAGGTATTTCCTTTAGTAATTTAGTATTTCCTTCCAACCTTAGGACATCTAGTATCATCTCCATTTGATTTTATTTTTTAAGTGAAATTGAAAGAAGTCAATCATTGAAATTCACATAGCTAAACCTTGAATAGTAATGCATTAGTAAGTCTGACTACAGATGATCAGTGTTCTCGTCAGAAAGAAGGAACACAGAGGCGAGCCTTTGTTCCTCTGGCCAGTTCTTGCTTGACCTGTTCTCTTCTCCCGCCCTTCTGCCCCTGCCCCATGGATTTAGCTCTGGCTTCCAGTATCCAACTGCACTATCATGTGTGATCAGAAACAGCGACCTGATCGCTGTTAATAAACCAAGGCTTTCTACTCCAGGTTCACTCCTTATGCCCTTCTCTCCGTATAGCTCCTGGCTGACTAATCTTTTACAAGTAGTTTTTCCAGTCCCTTGTATTTCCATTTTTGGTTTGGTTCAGGCTTATCAACATCTTTTTGTGCATTTTATGAGACTCCATTATTACCACAAGCAATGATAACAAACATTTATATATGAAACATCATGTGTGCCAAGCACTGTTCTAAGTCCTTTCCATATATCTTCGTAATTCCCACAATAAGCCTTTGATACAGGTACTGTTAGTATCTTCAATTTAGACGAGACAAAAAAACAGAGGCATAGAAAGTCTAAGTGACTAGTCCAGAGTCACAAAACTACTAAGACGTGGAACTAATCAGCCCCTGCGCAGTGTGGACCCGGAGCCCTAGCCACCGTGCTGGCCCATCTTTGAGGAAGTGTTCACTCGCCTGATCATTTCACTGAGGGCTGGAGATTTGTTCTTAGAAATAGAATGAGAGTTTAAAAAAAGAAAGCTAGTCTGGCATTTATAATGTCTATCAAACTAAAGAGTAGTACTAATAATTTATACTGTTCATCCTGGATTTTAACATCTAAAGTACAAAGTTGTTGAGAATGGGTATTAGTTTCGTTCCTTGTACATGAGTGGACAATCATGAACATTTCAATTTTAAATTAAGAGTATACTTACTATCACTGACTTTCAACAGTCACAAGTTAAAAATAAAAAAGGACCTTGCCAAAAGCTAAAAAGGTTTGGGGAGTATTTTTAAAGGTAGAACCCTCATAATGATTGTACCAATAAGAATTAATAAAGTTTCAGAAACAAGAATAAAATCAGCAAATGAAATATAAAAATGAAAAAATGACCTGCAATCTAGCTTTTAAATATTCTGTATTATTTTAAGCAACTCTGATCAAAATAGTTGGGGGGCTACTGACTGGAACCCTCAAAAGCCTCTGGGACATCATCCATCAGTATAAACAGTTTTTCTCCACAGTCTCTAAACCTCTGAAGCAAAGCCTTAAGCCACTAGGAAAAAGCAGCAAAGCCGTCCCCCCCGCCTGCACCACCCAGGACACAGGAAAAGGCCAACTTGAGAAGTGTTAGAAGGAGAAAAATCCCTCTGCCTCTGGGGGTGGGGCAGAGAACTGTCTTTAGCCAAAGACTCCACACTGACACCAAGCAGAGGTTCCCCAGTGCTGGGGGAAAAGGAGGAAACTCTTCAAAACCACTCACAGATTCAAGGCAGACTTGAGCTGCCAAAGAGAGAAGGAACAGGAACAAGGAAAAATAAACTCCCCACCTCCTTTCACAAAACCCAGGGGCGCAGGGCCTTCCGGAGACAGAGGCTGATCAGAACAACTGACAACACTCCCTTAGTGCGCATGCAACCTCCTACAGAATGACCAGCAGCGGCAGGCAGTTTACCCCTCATGGAGCTGCAAGGGTGGGGAGTGGGGGGAAGGAGGAAGAGGGGCAGAGAGAGAACCACTCTGGGGCTCTCCAAGGCGGAGTGCTGACCCCGAGAAAAGGCTCCCATGCTCAGGCCATTCCAGCGCACAGCAGGACGACTTCAACAGCTCTGGTGCTGGTGCTCAGCCAGAGCTCAGAGCAACGCAGTGGGACCCAACCCAGCCCAGCTTCTCACTGCACTGACAGACCTCCCATAAAACCTGCTGACAAATTCCTTCAATAGTCTCACTGGTTGACTAGACACAACTGAGGAAACAATGACCATAAAGATGAACCAATAAAAATGATCCACACTAAAACACAAAGAGGAAAAAAAGGGTAAAATAAGAATTTTTTCCCAGATAGTAAAGGACACCAAACAATGAACTCAAGAATTCTAAGCAGAATAATTCTGAAACATCAATCAAACTGCTGAAAACCAAAGAGAAAATCTTGAAGGCAGCCAGAAAAAAAAAATCCAACACATTTTATATACACAGGAACTAGGAAAATAAATCAGAACTTTTACTTAATATGATGTAAGCTATAAGACAATGGAATAACATCTTTAAAGCATCAAGGAAAAAAAGAGAGTCAATCCAGACATATGTGGGGTAAATATATCTCCCCAAATGAAGGCTGAATACCTCTCCTGACCCCCCTCTCTTCCCCCAAAAGGCCAAGAGAAATCAGTGCCAGCAGCCATCTGCTACCAGAAATGTTAAAGGAAGTTTTTCAGGCAGAAATGCTATCATTCAAGGACACTTGGGACAAAAAAAGACAAACCTCTGCCACTTTGGAAAGCACTTTGGCAGTTTCTTATAAAATTACACATTTATCATATGACCCAGCAATTTCATTCCTAAGCTTTTTCCCAATAGAAATAAATACTTATATTCACTTATAAAAGCCTGTACATGTGCTTACAGAGACTTTAATAATAATTGCCATAAACTAGAGGCACCCAAGATGTTTGTCGACTGATAAACTACTAGAAAATGCTACTAGACAATAAAAAAGAACCAACTACGGACTCATGCAGCAACAGGACTGAATCTCAAAAGTGTTCTGCTAAACAGCACATGCCAGACATGACAGACCACACTGGGAACAAGCAATGCATTGTTGTCGGTGGCCGGGGAGGGTGTTGGATGGGAGGG